TTGCCCTCATCCTACGTACACTCCCCGTCTCCCCCTCACAACCGACCAAGCCTCAGGCCTGATACACACGAATTTCCTCCGGCCGCTTGTTACTGTATCATCTACTCTGTTGAGATTGACCACTAGCAGCAGGAAGAGGCAAAACACAAATCCGGCCTTTTTGCGCACTACAGACGACTGTTTCTGTTGCATTTCCTGACAGGGTTTCGCGTTTTTTTCGTGTTTTCACTATTTTGCTTGCTCCGTTTGGTTTCCAATGCTTTCCTTGTGCTGCCCTACATGTTTATATACATCTGCTTATACTTGTAGATTTTATTGTTTAACTGGTGTCCCCCTAGAGTTCTGTTTTTCTTCAGAGTGGCTTCTGTTGTTTTCCTATGGTTCCGCCCGATTCCCTACAAATCGTTCATAACCAAAAACTTGGTTGTGTTAGCAGTGATTATACACTGCTCATTTTGTGACGTAGGATCTGCTTGACATGCTCCTGCGATGCAGTATTGACTTGACATGCTCCTGTGATTCCATGCTGTGCCTCAAGGTGGCCAAGGCAATCGGTGCAGCTGGCCGCTCACTCTTGGTGACCGAAGCTGAAGCTTGCTTTCCACTTCCTTTTGTGTTATCAGAGCAATGAAAGTTTACAGTTTGCTTACCCACAAACGGAGTGTTAAAGATGCCTGTTCTTGTGGTGTGGCTTCCTCAAGTAGTCTTGGAGAGGACTGATTGTTGTGGATTTATGATATGTATTTTTGGGTCATAGTTTCGTCTGCCCCCTGCAGATTGCCATTGCGTCAGGTGATTGCAGCCTTCTGTGTGATGGTCCTGTATGTTTTTGCCTTGCTGATGAAGCAGATCACAGATATGGCTGCTTGTCAGAGTATGAATTTTCACATCTTATGGGCAGGTTTTCAGCTACGAAGATTCAGGTGTAGCATAGGTGTCTACTGAGAAGAGTGGCGGGTTGACACGGGAAGCACCGAGCAAGCCAGGGAGTAAGCAGCGGCATTCCGGCACAGGTCAATTCGAATATCATCGGGACTCGTTGAAGCCCAGTACTTTTGTGCCCAGCACATTGAATCACGACTCGAGCACTCGGTCAAGCTTCGAGCGCTGCGATTCAGGCAGAGTATGAAGAGGATTAAGTTTAGGCGCCCTGTGCTGTTGGGGTTTTTAGGGTTTAGCGTGTTTGGGGTTCGTTTAGGTAGGTTTAGGATTTAAACAATTTAGGGTTTGCAGTGGCTTGCAGTTTGCGGTCTTTAGAGTTGCAGGCTTTTCGGTAGATTTTGGGGTGTACGTAGGGTTTACATGGGGTTAACACTTCGTTTGTGTCCTTCGGGTCCAGAGCGTGACGTCTCCAGTGCACGAATCCGACGGGTGTATTTTCAAGTCCTGCTTGTGTGAATGTCCCGGCCTCCTTGCACGAATCTGCCGGTGGGCGACTTCCCTGCGGCAGCGTGCGCGTCTGTTGTTGTCTAGTGTGTCCGTGCGCCCTGAACGAAGCAGCCGGTGGGTGCGCAAATCGGCTTTTTAAGTGCACGAGATGGTTTCGCACCCTGCTCTGCAGCATTCCTCGACCCAAATTCTGCAAACACAGAAACCGTTGCGTCATTTCCTCGAGGTGCAGGAGCCACCAGCAGACTCTGCACTTACTGCGGACTTTGCCACCGTGGCGACATCCATGCACCGCAGCCGCAGGAATCTGTGCGTAGCGTGTTCGTCGATTCGAGGCACTTTCTGAGCAGCTTTACTTTGAGTTAGTTTTCTTGGAACTCGAATGACGGTACTATGCGGGAATCGATGTTTGGGTCAACAGAGATCCATAGACTGTGTCTAGTGTTGGCTTGCTTGGAGCTGAGTGCCTATGCACGGCAGCAGTGTCCTGATGGAAAGCACATAACTTCCCCACCTTTTCGGCCCACCACTTGCGATCTTGGGGATGCTGCCCCCAAGTACGGCGTACGGGCTTCAAGACGGCCAAGGAACACCTTGCTGCTGAAGAGCATGTTCGCAGAGAGTGCAGCTTGCTTTACTTTGGCTTCAGTTTGCTTGGTTCTCTTCTAAAGGTTGAGAGTTCATGCGCCGTTGGATTATGCATCATGTTTACCGAGTTCTCATGCGTTGTCCTTTTGCATTGACTTCTGCAGTGTGCAGTCATCTTGACCACAATGCATTTGCAGCACGCCACGGTCGCAGACCTGCCGCTGCAACGCAACATGAAGCGCCTGCAAGGAAACACATCACATTGCAATAGAAAGCAGCGCAGCAAGGCACATGGCCACAAGCACACTGCAGCACAATGCCATAGTCTGCGACCATGGTCACCTGCGGTACTACGTGGTGATGCAAAACAGTGCGTTGTACCACATGATTCATGATCATGCACGGCAGCACGGCGCTTCCCCACCAAAGTTCATGATGGCGCAGTAACAGCAGAGCGCTTCTGCGCTACTGCAGGAGCTGAGTCCGGTAAGTTATCGAAGTCTACATGGCCCAGGCTACCTACACATGCGCACACACATCCACATTTTCAGGCTTCCTTTGTCTACTCCCTGGCGGCCTGGCATCCTGTCTTCTGGCCTTTTGTGGTGCTCTTTATCTTGATCACATCAGTGCCTCGGACTGCGGCGAGTCGTCCTGAAAGGCCGAAAATGGGTTGCCTGCGTTGCTTTTTTGCATGCCATGTGATGCCAGGTGACCATGATGTACATGCTGATTGGCGTCATGGTCGCTCGCTGCACTTTTGGATCCCTCAAACCGGGAGGGTCTTGCCGTCGCCGCCTCGCTTTTCGTCGCCGTCGCCTCGTCGCGAGGTGAACGTGGTGAACTCCGTGGCGGCCTCCGAGCGCGAGGGCTCCACCGTGCCTTTGGCCAAACTGGCAGAGCCCAACGTGCTGCAGCTCCCCGGCGCCCCCCCCTCTGAGGTGAGCCTTATCGCCCAGTCTCTGCGACAGGCACCGGGCGGGCAGAGTGGGATTTTGGAGCTGCAGCACGTTGGTTCCTGATTCCCGCAGATTGAATCGCAGAAGCGCCGTCTTGCCGTGCAGCTAGTTGTAAGTCTTTCCGAGTCACATTGCCTGGCCAAGCATGAGATTGGCTTTGCTCGCAGCTCCTGCTTGTCTCTCCACGTGCAACAGGTCATGGCAAAGCTGGGAATGGATGCAGCAACTTGGATAGACATGGCAGTCGGAAGACAGAGGTTCGGGTATCCTTTAGCTTTACGAGGATAGCCCCCTTTCCAAGCAGACCGTCACCGATCTGCTGCTGGATGCAGAAGTGGCCCAGTTCTTGTGCCTTCGGCTGCGTCGTGTTTGTGTTGGGGATTTTCGTTGAAACGAGCTTTCTTCTGTTTTTGACTGGAAGCAACATACCAGCTGTCGGAAGTGTACGTTGTGCGACTTTCCAGAAGTCTCGAGGTACAGTTTGGATGTGGACAGCATCGTCATGGTGGAGCTGACGGCAGCAAGCAGAAAAAAACACTTGGAAGCGCGAAGTCCCGTTTTTTTTGCGTGGCTCTGCGCCGCTGTCCGAGGAGATGCTGGATACTTTCTACGAGGACATCATGGAGAAGGAAGGCTCGAAGAGGGATCCGGGAGAGAGGAGAGACACTCTCAAAAAGTCAAGGCCAACGAAAGCCAAAGCCCCAGCCGCCCCAAAACCAAAGGCCGACAGATGAACTTCGAGGACCTGGCGCCTCGGCTAAGAGGGCTCCGCGCGGACCGCATGCGAGGGTGACGCTTGGAGCCAGGCGGTCATAGTCACCCACAGTTCTTCGTTCAGCTCCGAAGGTGGATGGGCTGCTGAACCTGCGTGGGACGAACCCGGCGACGGTGCAGGCTGGATGGAGAAACATGCTGGCTGCAAACGCAATAGATCGCGGCGGTGGTTTGCCTTGAAAGCCCTCCATGGCAGGACGTGAAGGGATCCATTCGCGCCTCGGTCCGTCAGAAAGGAACCACGGAGGGTCCGTTCGTTGTGAAAGCGAAGCGGTCGAGTCGAGGTGAGTGAGCGAGAGGAGTAGCAGTTGACAGTCGAAGACAGATCCCCCTCTCAGTGAATCCTGCAGACCTGTTCACAGGAGGCTTGCACATCCCAGGGTTGTGATTTAGACTTTGGATTCAGTTACCCTCGCGACGGGACTGCCGAAAGCGAACCACGACGGCCTTGAGCCCCTCTCCTGAAGGCAAACAGCCCAAACAATGCAGCGTCGGCGCCTTGAGGCATTTTGAAGACCAGCTTCACCAAGGAGCTGTCTCTTGGCCTGAATTTGACATCACTGCAGGGTACAGGCACAGGGATCTGGTGCAAGCCTTCTGCAATGGTCGGGAACTGTGGCAAGGTCAGACCTGCGCAAGAGCCTGCTGGGCGAGATCAACACTCTGCGCCTCTGCCAAACAAGTATTCCCGATCGAAGTCTCCTGGCACCTGAAGCTCACACTCGGAACAAGCTGAACCCAGGAAGATCGACCTGCGTGACGGGGGAGATTTGGAGTCAAGCGGCTCAGAGCACGATGCAAGTTGAGAGGCGAAGACCTTTCCGCGACTAATTTGTTGGGCTTCGTTTGTCGGCGGCATCTTGGAATCATTTTGATGGCTTTAGCTTCTTGGGAGCTTTGAAGGTTTCCGTCATCTGCGAGCAGTCCCTGCAACAGAGCAACGCTCGTCACTGTCACTCGCTCGCTCATTTCACCCGGAGGTCTTCGCTTGCCCTCGTCGATGCCAAAGAGATCCTCTGGCCGAATTCGATTGCACGGCTCTTTGACCCCGTTTGAGTTTGCTGCGCCGATGTGCGGCTTGGTGAAATGGCCATTCCGAGCCCAGCGCCCAGCGTTGGTGACGGCAGACGTCGCTTTGTGCTTAAGAGCACTCGCTCAGCCGAGGGCAACGGCCTCGAAGAGGCCTGGCCCAGAGGCCCAAAGGAGGCATCGCGAGGTCAAAGCTGGGCAAGCAAAAGCTGCTACAGTGCTCGTAGCAAAGCGGAGCGAAGCAGAATTCGAGTTGGTTAGGTTGTTGCAGATGTGGCTGCCGATGGCCTCATGGTGGAGTTCGCGCAGCGAGAGCCGCAGGCTGTTCTTTCCAGCGGCACTCGATACCTTCAAGTGCAAAGTAAGATCGCCAACAGCCCGTAGCTAGAGTCTGCTAGAGTTGGCTTTGCCTGCGTGTTTTCTGTGTCCTAGAGATCCCCGTTGCCTCTATGCAAACGTCCAGGAGAAGCGTGGCACCACCCAGACGACCATCTACTTGGCCACTAGGATGCAGCGCAGGCTCTCCTCCGCCTCATGCGCGGGCTGAAGCCCAGGTTCGAACGATGGGGTCCATCGTGGCCACGGCCGTCGTCGGTGTCGGAATGAACGGCAAGGACGCACAGCCGCACTGCTCACTTTCCCCGTGTGGTGGCGTCGTAGACAGGCCAAGCCCGAGGGGCGCACCGTGCAAAGCTGTGCAATTCAGCTCAGCCAGGAGTACAACGGCACCTTTGACTTCACTTTGCGCTTCAACCAGGCGCAACTTGCTACGACAAATCCCTTCTCTTGTTGCCGTCCTGTGCCTGTGGTTCTGGTCATGTTGACGGCATGTCGGCTACGGCTTGCAGCGAAGCTCTATCATACTGATCATTGCTCAAGTTGGCAGGTCATGCTGATCTTTGCCATCCCGGCAGGGCTCATGATCCCAGTGTCGTCCGGGTCCGAGCTCGCAGAATGCCACCTGTCCACTTTTCCTGCTGCAAGCCTTCAGCCGTGGAGCCGCTCGGGACTCCGTGCAGTCCAAGGTGGTTCCTGGTCAAGGACACTCCCGTCCAGGAGGTCGGGGAAATCTGCGAAAAATCTCAGTCTTCAAAGCAAGCCATGTGCCATGCCCCCTTTCGGCGCAGGGCCAGCGCCGGTCCCTGCGGCAGTACCTGCGCCAGGCACCGGTCTTGCCAAAGAGCTTTGGCTTCGCTGCACTTCGGGATCTTCGGGGTTTTTGAAGAACTTGGGTTCGTTTTCCTGCCCTTTCTGCTCAGTGCTTGGAGGCCTGGGCATTGATGACGCACAAGGCGGGCCGTTCAACCTTGGTGGTGTGTTTTGGCAGGCGTGTTTCCGGGCGCACGGGTTTCTTTGCAAAATTAGCACCTTAGCGAGCTCGAATCTTGGAGGGTCTTCTTTGGCACTTCGACCGTCAACAGCAATGTCAATCAAGACAACTGGCTGAGCACAGAGCCAGAGAAGCAAGTAAATGGAGCATCACGTGTTCAGAATTCAGGGTTCTCGGGTGAATTCCCGACTGCCTTTCTTGGCTGAGCATCATGAGTAATGCGTTTCAGCCTGCCGAGGCAGTCTTTATGGTGGCAACTCGGCTGCATTTCGGGGACGGACCACTTCGATGGACGAGTTTCGTGAGTTTCTGAGGTGATGTGGAACTTCTGGGAAGCGGTGATCGGCCGCATTAACACCACAGCCTCGGGATTGGTAAAGAGCCGCTCTGCAGAAGCCAGGGTTCTGCAGGGATTTGCCCAAGCCAGCAACATGTGAAATCCAGTATGCCTGGACATACTCGCGCTCCGATTAGATTCGAAATCGCCCGAGGTGAATGGGCCGGCGTCAAGAATTTCCAGAATCAGCGTCTCAGTTTAAGTTTAGGTTAGGACTTGCGATGCACTGGAAGCCAGGTGTGCTGTGCCGCAGGCCTCGCCTGAAAGAGTCGAGAGGGTTCAAGGCTGAGCAGGTGTTCCATTGGTCGGAGTTTTTGGTTGAAGAATTGGATGGCAATCTTGTTTTGGGGGTCTTTCCCCCTAAGCCCAGGCTCTTTGGCTTCGTGTCGCTGATGGTGTTCTCCTATGGCCTCCACATCGTGAAGACTCTCGGCATTTGTGAATTGCACCTTAAAAGGAAGTTCAACCCTTGGCCGAAGCTTGGTGGGTCTCGCTTGAGCTTCGTCGAGCTGACGGCATCCTACCCACTTGAGGCTTTGAGGCTGAAAGGGCTCAAGGTGCGACGTCAGCAGTCAGCAGCAGTTAGAGGGGCTGGTCAGCTGTCGATCGCTGCATCAAATCCGTTTCAACATCGTGACCGTAACTTCTAAGGAAGCGCTTTCTTCACTGCAGTGCCTCAGCGGCATCTTCGCCTGATCCGAGTTGGAAACCCCGCGCAGTAGCTCTTCCACCGGTCCTGCGAAGCCCATCGCAGGCTGGCGCAAGATGCTTCTGGGCACGGGCATCTTCTTGAATGTAATGGATGCCACTGGACTGCTGTCTTGAGGGAATCATGTTTTGTCGAATCTCCGTCGTTTCTGCTTCTCACGGCTTGACGGTCGACCAAGCACAAACGGGTTGCAAACTGTAACCCCGAGAGGGCGTGGAGGGAGACCCTGGAGTCGGGTAGGAGTGGGCCGCCCCGTACATTCCGTTCTGAAATCCAACTCCTAAGGGAACCTTGGCATTGCTGACCACCTACGACATTGCCTGGGGCCAAGTTGGGAGATTGAGATTGGCATATGTGCAGCCTCCGGATGTCTAAGACACGAAAGCATCAATATGAAGGACACAAGCTACATTCCGGCCCTCAACCCTGAAGCTTGGTTGAGTGTGTCGGTGCTAGGTACGAAACCAATACTTCTACCTGGGCGAGCAGATCCTGGATGATATACCAGCAGCGGCGAACTTCGCCGTTCGGGGGCATTTTAGGGCTGTCGCCCCTACGGTTTGTTGAGGACTGAGAGCTCAGGGTGTCCAAGGTTCAACTTCGGGTAATATGGATGATGCCAACATGCGAGTAAGGACACTCAACGCTTGATCCGATCTTGAGTTTGGCTTGAAGTGGTAACGGTCGCTTGAGGAACAGTGTGATGAGTTTGCGTTCAAGGAGTTCTCAGCTTGTCCAGGTCATCGGCACTTTCATCGTCGTCGAGCTGGCGGACCAGGCAGGATTTGTCCTCGGCGGTCCAGTTGGGAGCAGTCGACTCCCCGAGCATGAGACGCTGCGATGTTCGTTGAGTCTGTCGGAAGTTGCCAGATCGTAACGACAATGATGGGGCTGTGCTTTGTTTCTACAGCTGGAACGTTGCTGGAACTGGAATTGTTGCCTGTAGCAGTACGACTAGCACGACGGCGACCACTCATACCTGCATCATTACCACCATTATCAATCACAACCACCATCAGGACGACGACGGTGTCGGTTGCTGCTGCTGCTGCTACTACTACTACTACTACTACTACTACTCCTACTACTCCTACTACTCCTACTACTCCTACTACTCCCAGTACTCCCACTACTCCCACTACTCCTACTACTCCTACTACTCCTACTCCTGCTCCTGCTCCTGCTCCTGCTGCTGCTCCTACTCCTACTCCTACTCCTACTCCTACTCCTACTCCTACTCCTACTCCTACTCTCCTACTCCTACTCCTACTCCTACTCCTACTCCTACTCCTACTCCTACTCCTACTCCTACTCCTACTCCTACTCCTACCCCTACTCCTACTCCTACTCCTACTCTTACTCCTACTACTACTACTACTAC